GTATACGCAAAAATTTACACTTTTTCGTGTTAGATAGGGGTTAGGGTTTAGGGTTTAGGGTTTAGGGTTTTAGGGTTTAGGGTTTAGGGTTTAGGGTTTATGTGTACCTGTTGTCTTTGTGTGTTTTGTGCTGCTCCTACAGTAGGAATGAGAGAGAGGTGCCAGTGTCTATACAGCTCGCCATCTATAGAGAAGCTATCTGCTGGCTGCTGCAGCTGCAGCAGCAAACTGCTGCAGGTGCTCCATGTGAAGGCAACACGAGGCACCAGTAACGATGAACGGATGCCCAGATGGTCCTTGCTGCTCCTGCTGCTGCTGCTGCTGCTGCTGCTGCTGCTGCTGCTGCTGCTGCTGGTGCTGCTGCTGGTGCTGGTGCTGGTGCTGGTGCTGTAGCTTTTGTTGTTGTTGTTGTCGCTGCTGCTGGTGCTGCTGATGTAGGTTTTGTTGTTGTTGTTGCTGCTGCTGCTGCTGATGTAGCTGTTGTTGTGGTTGTTGCTTCTGGTGCTGCTGCTGCTGCTGCTGTAGCTGCTGTTGTGGTTGTTGATGCGGCTGCTGCTGCTGCTGTAGCTGTTGTTGATGGTACTGCTGCTGCTGCCGGTGCCACTGTAGGTTGTGCCGCTGCTGCTGCTGCTGCTGTTGCTGCTGCTGCTTCCGCTGGTGCCGTTGCTGTTGCTGCTGCTGGTGCCGTTATTGCTGCTGCTGCTGGTGCTGTTGCTGCTGTTGCTGCTGCTGGTGCCGTTGCAGCTGCTGCTGCTGGTGCCGCTGCTAGTGCTGCTGCTGATGCCATTGCTTCTGCTGTTGAAGGTGGTGCCGCTGCTGCTGCTGCTGCTGGTGCCGTTGCTGCTGCTGCTGCTACTGGTTCCATTGCTGCTGTTGCAGCTGGTGCTGCTGCTGCTGCTGCTGCTGCTGCTGCTGCTGCTGCTTCCTGCCGTTGCTGCTGCTGCATTTCGCACATACCCCGAGGCTGATGAGGCCTTGTAAAGCTGGCTTACTCGGGTTGTCTTGGGGTCGAAG